CCCACGACTTCCTATAACCATTTACCTATACTCCTCAAAAATCCAATAGATTTTAAACACCAAACTAAAAAAAAAACAACCTCTGTAATGGAAAATCAACTTCATGTAAAAAACCATTGCATTTTACATACGGAGTATCTAAAGTTCAGTTATGGCAGATTATCAAAGGGTTAAATTAATCTTTGCGGCATTTTTAGACGTAATTTTGGTTATTGCGATATTTCTTTGTCCGTCACTTGGTAATTTTTTAATCTGTTGTAATTAAATTTGAATATAGTGACTATCTTTAAAGTTTCTTATTATGATCTCTTGGACGATGATATAGCAATAGCCAAATTTGAGCTTTTTAGACAAAGTGGTGGACTACTTCGGTTTAATTCATATATCGAAAATGGGTAGACAGAAACAAATACTCACATACTTGATTCTTGTTATAGTGTAGTTTAATTACAATAATAAACAGATTTTTTATAATTTTATTTACTTTTAATATGGGAATTATAGGTATATCATTACTTCACTCATATTACCCTGTAAGTATATGATATTTTTAAACAATTTCAATTGTATCATGCATTAACGAATTCATTTTTAGGTATAATAATATTGGTACTTACTGGAAACTGTAACTGGGGAATTAGAACACCACCAGACAGTCTGAGATTAATTTTAATGTAAGTTAACCATGGTAAAGATTTACTTTATGAATTTTATTAAGCTAAACATCTAAAGATCTTTTCTTAAATCCAAATAGTATTTGGCCAATATTCTGGATAGGAATTTCAAGTAAGCATCAAATCCATCAAGTATATATGATTATAATAATTTTTATTTTGAAATTTAATCCATTCATTGTAAAATAGCCGCATATACGATTCTAACAATTAACGAAATGGGAAGCATCCCATTATTATGTCCAGACGACTATAATTACAGTTCATCATTGATTCAAACAGCATGCCAAGTTCGTCTGGCAAATTTAATTTCAATGTGGGCACTTGCTATAATTTCAATAATTTTCGTTTTAGCAGTTTTTACCGATATTTTACCTAAACCAAAAGATAGAATTGAACCTGGAAAAGGAAATGTACCACAAAGATTTAGGAAAGAAAAACAAGAGATTGACGAGGAGCGAATTGCGGTGTTATAAAATAAATGTACAAGTGTAAAATTCCATTTTTCCATTTATTTATTTCGTCCATGTAATTTTTTTTTAAGATTGCTATTTATTGGTTGATAATGCGATGCGTTATTATTGTTATATATACACACATTATTATTTAAGACGTGATTTTACGAGTTGAGTCATATGTCAGTATCGGTATGGTTTACTGTATCGGTATGACTGTAAAAAATAAACGAAATCCTGTTATTTAAAATGATATTAAACTGTCTTGCTTACGTAAAAATATAAATTATCGAACCATAACGATAAGCCTCTGAGGCTTAGACCTAAATATTTAAAATAAAAAAACTCTGTGACAAAACAAAACTGACAACATACTTTAATACATAGCGATACGTAGAACAAATTACAAAATTTGTAATAAATATTTATTCGAATCACGTACATAGTTGATCGATAAGGATGGAGATTATAAGAATCCTGAGAATTATTGCTGCAATATTTATAAGTTTATCTGTATTGTTTGCTTTTGCTTGTCCAGCGTTGGGTAAATATTTTAAATAAATTGTTAGATTATTTATTAGAAATATTTAAATTTTGATTCATTCTTTATCAGAAATTCTAAAAATTATATCGTTTTTAAATGTTGGAGATCCATATAAATTAAACATCCCAATGGAATACATGTGAGTTGATCCAAAATCATTCAAATCTTTTTTATCTCTATCAAATTAAAATTTTCCTTTTGATAAATTTAGTTATTTCGTGGTATCTCTCATCTTACCATGTAAGTATACTCTCGTGTTTCATAATATTCAATTTTATCAAATATTCTTGTTTAACTTTTAAACAATTTTTTTCACGAATTATTTCTGTTCGTCCAAATTAAAAGGTTGGATTTTTCTCTCGTCGGTTTTCAATTTTTGTTATAAGCCAGATCTTACAATAAAGGGAATAGAATTAAAATTATTGTAACTGTTTATATCTATTTTTTTGTAAATATTTGAAATACTTGATCTCCCTTTTATTTATTTAAATCTTGTATATTCTAACTTTAGGTTTTGGACACTGTTATGGTTATTCGTTTCAGGTAAAAATCAAATTGCCTCCCATGAATTCTTTTATATTCGCATCTCACCTTAATCTAAATGAAACCAGTCCTTTACACCTTTTTCACACGTGACGATGTCGGAGGTATTCCATTTTATTGTCCATCGAGTGAGACTTACATATCTTATGATTATTATAAGGCATGCCAACTTCGTGCCGCAAATTTTACTGTAATGTGGATTTTCCTTTTGTTGATTATAATGTTAACAATATTTATTCCTGCGGCATTATTTCCACATGATGAACTTGACCGTGAAAAATATTCACATAAACGGATCGATCTTCTTAGTTTGTGGACTGATTGTGGACCAAGAAAAGTAAAAAAAGTGTATAATAAATTATAATTTTTATTGATTATTTTGTGAACAGCTGAAATTTCTAATTCTATAGTGCAATAAATATTGCTGCAATTAAGCGTAATACAGATATTAAATAAATTGATTTATCAAATTTATTAAATTCTTCATATAAATGTGAATTTATTAATGTATTAATTCTACATTGGTGTTAAATCATTCATCACATTATTTTTTTTATCATAAAATAAAAAAAAACCCCAATTATATGTTTTAAGTAAAAACGAAATTTAAATGGTTAGGAATTTATATATAAAACCCCCGTTTTATGTATAAATTTCATTAGCTATTATTAATTATACGTAGCATATATATTTAATAGCATTCGGATGCCGCTACAATTGAAGTTCGAGCATTCAATGTCGCATGAATTCCAGCTTTTGCGATAGAGATTGTCTGCTGTTCCATAGCTTCATGAATGGCAATTTGATCAGAAATATCCATTTTATCATAATTGAATAAAAATGCATATAATTATTTATGTGATATAGTTAATACAATCAATGAAGTATTATATTACTTACGTTATCCACTAGCATTAAAGCACCCGCTTCTATGGTGAAATCACCTGACTCTTCGTCTTTGACGACAGCTACGGTCAGATGAGGCTTTTTCAGAAGTAAATATAGCACGACATGCATATCTACATAATTTTAATAATAAAAATTACAAATTTTGATCGTACGTATAAATAAAAAAATCGAATGATAAATATGTATAATTACTTAAGGAACTGGCTCTTAATATCCCTCAAGATTCATATCCTCTACGGTTTCTTTGTGAACACCCCCTAGAAGATGAATACTCCTTTTTTATTATTTAAAACAGGTAAATCAACTACTGATGTACCAATTAACTAAATAAGCTGATAATATAAATTTATTACCTGGTGCGATACCTTTGACTAGGTTATCGAACATTCTTTCATCTCTGCTCATTCCATCCAAAAGTTCTTTCTCCATCCCTTCATAGACTTAACAAATCGTCCACTTCCGTTAGTCTATTATAAACATCACGCTATTTTTTTCAAGATAACGAATGTTAAAAACGCTTAAGTCAGAATAAAAAACCATCAGTTTTGATTAAAAAAATGATCTTACCTTCGCGTCAACAGTATGAACTGTATATGCCAAAATCTCTAGTACCAAGAGACTTTAGACCCCCCATAACTCCGGCATTAGCAGGAAATCAAATTCGGGATGGTTAAGACCAAAGAAAAAAAACTATGATTTATAATAAATAGAAATAATGTAATTAATTACTTTACACGTTCATCATCTAATAAACCTTTTTGGGACAAGTACATGAGCGATTTTTCAGCATGTGAATCTATCTTTATTTACAATTACTTAAATGTATGAATTAAAAATGCATTTCTGTGAAAATTCTAATCGAATCTACAGTAGATTATTAATTTTTTTTGGATTGCATTTTCATAATTCTAGCTTTGATTTTTTTTGCGACATTTTTGTCCGAACACAAAATTATTTTGGAATTTAGAGCTTCCTTGATTGCCCCGTTAGTGTATCCTACATTTGTAACAATAAAACTTTGGTCTTCCAGTGATATTTATTTAACCTTCACTAATAATTTCTCTTTACATATCCGCAAATACTGTATATATTTGTTCATAAACATTACAAGAATTCTTCAATGTCTGCATAATACTTTAATTTTTTCGAAAGGCGATTCTTTGCATTGTCTCTTCTTTCTTTGCGTTCTTTTTTTCTTATTTCGATCAAACGTTCTTCAGCACGTTTTTTTCTAAAATTTATTATATTCGTTATATATTGACCAGAAATCGTCCCGGAAAAACGTTCGACATCCACAACACCGATGGAATTCTTTTCTCGATATTTACATCGTATGATGATTTTAATGCCAATAAATCCCTATAAGATCTTATCATTTTCGGTGTGTTAAAAATAATGCCTATATTTTTAAGTTTAATATGAATTTCCCGCTTAAATATATAGCATTTTCCCTCGGCACGTTTCTTTTGACTTAGCTATTAAAAAAAAAAGAAGAAAAAATGTAAGCACATCGTGTTTCATCGTGTTCTTCTAGTCCTTAGCGTGACCTTCGATCGTAACCACATCAGTCACAGTTTCGAAACGTGCGTGTCTACACGGGCGATTTCTCTGGCACGTGGAGTCCGAGACTCACTCCCGCAGCGTGACTTACACACGCACGTGCACTAAACGGGTTCCGATCAATTCACCGACAATCATTTCACCGAACGCTCATTTAGCCGACATCACATAGGGTTAGGGTTAAGCATTTGATTAGTTGCAGGTATATATTTTTACTAAATTTCACTGGCGTGATGTCGGCTAAATGAGCTGTCGGTGAAGTGATTGTCGGTAAAATAATACGGACCCGCACTAAACAGGCAATGCTTAGTGAGAAAAAAAAATTACTCACCCTTCCAGTGAACTCTCACGCCGAGTGAACAATGCCGGGCTTGCTTTTCCGTTTCCGGCGTGAGAGTTCATTGGGTTTGCCTTTCCGGCGTGAGAGTTCACTGGGTTTGCCTTTTCGTAAGAGTTCACCGGGTTTGTCTTTTCGTGAGAGTTCGCTAAGTTTGCCTTTCGTGAGAGTTCACTGGATTTGTCATTGGGTTTGCCTTTCCGGCACGAGAGTTCACTGGATTTGCCACGGGGTTTGCTCTTCTGGCGTGAGGTTCACTGGATGTGCCCTCCTGGCATTTTTCACTGGGTTTGCCCTTCCGGCATAGTTCGCTCTTTTTACACGAGGGATATTCATTACCATTACGTTTATAGAAAAAAAAAATAACGGGGAAAAAACGATGTAATAGAAAAAAAAACACGAAAATTAACGTAAGTATATATACGTGAAAAAAACGTAGGACGAATCAAACATAAACGTTGTTAAAAAATGGGCCTATATATACCGTTAACGAACAACAAAAAAAGTTCTCAGGGAGAAAAAAAAAAAAACTGCCAATTAAAAAAAAAAATGGAAAATGACAGATGCTTTTTTGTCAAATTCCCACATAACCGGTTTTCAAATTCCCACACAAATTCCCACATAACAGGTTTTTACTAATTTACCCCAGGTTTTTGATTGGCTGGATTTGTTTACATGTCATCTTTTTAAAATATGACGCCTTGGCTAGGGTTAGCAATAGAGTTAGAAGACGCCCTTATACAGTACTAAAATTTTGCAAGGAATTTTTTTTATTAGTGCACAAAGATGGTTTCTTAGGCGAAATTTTGAGATTTTTCAAAAATCAAGTGATTGTTTTTAATTTTCACGTTACACCTGATCCTGTTCTCTGATTGGCCAGAATCGCGAAACCTGGAGTAAAATTAGGAAATGCCACATCTGAACTTTAACAACGTGCACTTAGCATTTTGTACGGAGTGTACATAAATATAGATATACTGACTGGTAAAGTGTAATTAATTTATACACGCCTTACATTCAAATTTGCGATGTTAATTAAAAACATATTATTACATATTGATGTAACTATTCGCAAAGTCAATTACAGTATATTAAAGTTTTTAAAAGTTTCTCTCGCAATATACTTCT